ATTTATGAGTGGCAGCTTTTATTTTGCTTGGCTACAATCCTTGAGGTGTGATCTTTGTTTGAACAAATGCACATGAAGCATTGTTATATATATAAGAAATTGAGACCTCAAATGTGTATTGAAAGCGCTAGTCATCAGAATTTGCATTTTCTAATTGGCAGGCAAGCACTTTGAGAATATAATATAATGCAGGGAGCTTGAACCCTGCTTTTATCTGGAGAGTATTAGAATGGAGAGAATTTCCTCTCAATGGGCCCCATTGTAGTCCTATCAGCACAGCTGTGACCATTTCATTAGGTTTGAATGAAAACCTAGGGAGTAACGATTATGCAAAGCCGGATCAGCTTTAAAAGGCTGTAAAGTTAGATAACAACATTCTAATGACCAGCTAAACTCTACTTGGGCATTGTTCAGTGGAGAGAGAGAAAGAGGCATTATACTAACCAGTATGATAAACGTGGGGGTGGGACCATGTCAAGTAGCCCCACCCCCGGCACTCATGCATAGAGGGCAAGCATTGGCAGAGGGGGAGCGTTTGCATGGGCAATACTACACTTTGCTCAGATTGTTCAAGCTTTGTTTCACTACCTGCAGATCACGTAGAAGCATCATGTATGCATGAAGGCTCGCTCCCTGGAGATCTTCATGTGTACACATGAATGCCAGGGGGCAGCAGAATTACTCAGGGCATTCAGCCTTATGAGTTCATGATCCCGCACATGTGTTTGTCTAGCTGAGGAGCATAAAGCTCAAAGAGCAGGGAGGAATCAGTGAGATGGTATCTTTTATGGGACCCATCCCTGGTGTAAGAATGGCCTATAGAGTGAGATGAGCGTGCAACCCCAGAGTCGTCTGCGACTGGACCTAACGGTCAGGGGTACCTTTACCTTTAAGACAAAGCTGTGAAGCACTTAGCCACATTTTTTAAAATGGCAAATAAATGACAGCCATGCTACTTTCAGTATATTGTATCTACCAGAAGATGAGTTGTGGCCTTTGAGACTAGCTGGAGTTTCATCAAGGCCAATGGCAGCTTGCCCAGATTTTGCATCTTGCTTTAATAAAGGAAAAGGTAATGATGCCGTACTCAAGCTAGGTGATGGTCTCACAGGAAGAGAAGCTGTTTCTTTGCCAGTCAGGGATAGCAGAACCCATTACTTGCAGTAATTATTTGGGACAGTAGCACCAAAAGTGTCATTGCCTAAATTGATCCTCCGTTTTACCATTGAATTAAATATTCAGCCAGATAGGCACAGATGCTCTCACAAAGCACATTTAATGAATACTGAGACTAGACTAAATGATAATAGCTTTTTGGATTCACTTCCAAAGAAGCCCACTTAGAAGCATTTACTTTACCAATCATACACCAATGTTCTAGCAGTAAACCATATACTCTCAAAGCTAGAGAGCCATTTCCCCCTTGAGTAAATATTGATTTAAGCAGCAAATATGTTGCATTCAATTATGTGCCTCGGATACTTATACAACTGTTTGGTAGCCTGTCCAGCGACTGTGCAGTTCTACTCACCCACTCAGATGTAATGCCTATTGAGTTCACTAATAAGCATGTATAGGATTGCAGCCTAAATAAATACACTGCAAACAAACTGTTAATGACATAGAATGGGTAAATAACTTTTCACTTCCCCCCTCTATAGTTCGGTCATTTACAGTCCTTTGTTTACTCTGTTAATTAATTTTGGAGTAAATATATTGGGAGATGTTTCTTCTAAGTGCTTTGTATAATCAGGAATCATCTGAAATTGTATCTGACTGAGCTCAGTCAATGGCTCTTATTTCTGATCTAAGCTTATTTTACCAGGAAATGTGCTTAGGACTAGACCAGTCTGTTAGAGATTAGGTATATGGCTCTTGATTGTCACCATTTTGCAAATCCAGATCTGTAGGCCTCCAGGAGAAACTATGGGGCATAATGTTTAGAGTGTCAGAACGGTTCTGAGGAGACCATCAGGGTAGAAATCTAGAACTAAAGGAAAAGGATGGAAGGTCCTTTCCTATCTCCCACGCTTCAGTAGGGAGAGGACAAAAGGCCCAGATTCAAACTCCCACTCAACCATGAAACTCACTGAATGGCCTTGGGTCAGAGTCTTTCTCCCTCAGCCTAGTCTACCTCATAAGATTTACGTTTACACAGACATATACACAGAAAGATGTGTGTGTTGCCTTGAGGTCCTTGGAAATCCAAATGTAATACTATGTACCCCTGAAGAGCTATTTACAGCAGATATGGACAATACTGAGCTATATAGAATCATAGAATCATAGAGCTGGAAGAGACCACAAGGGCCATCGAGTCCAACCCCCTGCCAAGCAGGAAACACCATCAGAGCACTCCTGACATATGGTTGTCAAGCCTCTGCTTAAAGACCTCCAAAGAAGGAGACTCCACCACACTCCTTGGCAGCAAATTCCACTGTCGAACAGCTCTTACTGTCAGGAAGTTCTTCCTAATGTTTAGGTGGAATCTTCTTTCTTGTAGTTTGGATCCATTGCTCCGTGTCCGCTTCTCAGGAGCAGCAGAAAACAACCTTTCTCCCTCCTCTATGTGACATCCTTTTATATATTTGAACATGGCTACCATATCACCCCTTAACCTCCTCTTCTCCAGGCTAAACATGCCCAGCTCCCTTAGCCGTTCCTCATAAGGCATCGTTTCCAGGCCTTTGACCATTTTGGTTGCCCTCCACTGGACACGTTCCAGTTTGTCAGTGTCCTTCTTGAACTGTGGTGCCCAGAACTGGACACAGTACTCCAGGTGAGGTCTGACCAGAGCAGAATACAGTGGCACTATTACTTCCCTTGATCTAGATGCTATACTCCTATTGATGCAGCCCAGAATTGCATTGGCTTTTTAGCTGCCGCGTCACACTGTTGGCTCATGTCAAGTTTGTGGTCAACCAAGACTCCTAGATCCTTTTCACATGTACTGCTCTCAAGCCAGGTGTCCCCCATCTTGTATTTGTGCCTCTCATTTTTTTGCCCAAGTGCAATACTTTACATTTCTCCCTGTTAAAATTCATCTTGTTTGTTTTGGCCCAGTTCTCTAATCTGTCAAGGTCGTTTTGAAGTGTGATCCTGTCCTCTGGGGTGTTAGCCACCCCTCCCAGTTTGGTGTCATCTGCAAATTTGATCAGGATGCCCTTGAGTCCATCATCCAAGTCGTTGATAAAGATGTTGAATAAGACCGGGCCCAAGACAGAACCCTGTGGCACCCCACTAGTCACTCTTCTCCAAGATGAAGAGGAACCATTGATGAGCACCCTTTGGGTTCGGTCAGTCAGCCAGTTACAAATCCACTGAGTGGTAGCATAGTCAAGACCGCATTTTACCAGCTTCTTTACAAGAATATCATGGGGCACCTTGTCAAATGCCTTGCTGAAATCAATGTAGGCTACATCCCCTGCGTTCCCTTCATCTACCAGGCTTGTAATTCTGTCAAAAAACGAGATCAGGTTAGTCTGACATGACTTATTTTTCAGAAATCCATGCTGACTATTGGTGATCACAGCATTCCTTTCTAGGTGCTCACAGACTGTTTGCTTAATGATCTGCTCCAGAATCTCCCTGGTATTGATGTCAGACTGACTGGGCGATAATTATTTGGGTCCTCTCTTTTCCCTTTTTGAAAATAGGGACAACATTTGCCCTCCTCCAGTCTGCCGGGACTTCGCCTGTTCTCCAGGAATTCTCAAAGATGACTGCCAGTGGTTCTGAGATCACATCTGCCAGTTCTTTTAATACTCTTGGATGCAGTTCATCTGGCCCTGGAGACTTGAATACATCTAAACTAGCCAAGTATTCTTGTACTATCTCCTTAGTTATTCTGGGCTGTGTTTCCTCTGCTGAATCATATGCTTCAAATTCTTCAGGTCGGGCATTGTTTTCTTTATCGGAGAAGACTGAGGCAAAGAAGGCATTGAGGAGTTCAGCCCTTTCTGTGTCCCCTGTTTGCATTTCACCTTCTTCTCCTCTGAGTGACCCCACTGTTTCTTTGTTCTTCCTTTTGCTACGAACATACCCATAAAAGCCTTTTTGTTGCTTTTAACCTCTCTAGCAAGCCTGAGTTCATTCTGTGCTTTAGCTTTTCTGACTTTGTGTCTACACGTGCTGGCTATTTGTTTGAATTCCTCTTTGGTGGTGTCCCCCCCTTGTCCATTTTTGTACACATCCTTTTTAATCTTAACTCAGTTAAAAGTTCTTTAGATAGCCACCCTGGCTTCTTTAGGCACCTTCCATGTTTCCGTCTCATTGGTATTGCCTGACGTTGTGCTTTTACTATCTCCCTCTTAACAAACTCCCAGCCATCATGAACTCCCTTTCCTTTTAGTATTACTGTCCATGGGATCTCACCCAGCACTTCCCTAAGTTTTATGAAGTCGGCTTTCTTAAAGTCAAGAAATTGAGTCCTAGTATGCTTGGCTGCTCCTTTCCGCTGTATAGTAAACTTCAGAAGAGCATGATCACTCGCGCCTAATGATCCTTCCACTTCTACCCCACTAACCAGGTCATCAACATTGGTTAGGACCAGATCTAAAATGGCTGTTCCTCTTGTTGCTTCTCCCACTTTCTGGACAATGAAGTTGTCTGCAAGGCCAGTGAGGAATCTGTTTGACCTTATGCTCTTGGCTGAGTTTGACATCCAACAAATATCTGGGTAATTGAAGTCCCCCATTACTACTATCTCCCTTCCTTTTGCATGCTTGGCCATCTGTTCCAGGAAGGCATCATCTATGTCCTCCGTTTGGCTTGGGGATCTATAGTAAACTCCCACAATGAGGTCACTGTTATTCTTCTCTCCCTTGATTTTGACCCAAATGCTCTCACTTTGGCTTTGAGGTTCTAAATCTTGGATCTCTTCACAGGTATACACATCCCTGACATATAACGCCACTCCTCCTCCTTTCTTGTCTGGTCTGTTTCTCTGAAATAGATTGTATCCTTCCATTATTACATTCCAATTGTGGGACTTATCCCACCAGGTTTCAGTGATGCCTATTATGTCATATTTAGTTTGCTGTACCAAGAGCTCAAGCTCATCTTGTTTATTTCCCATGCTTTGCGCATTAGTGTACAGACATTGAAGTCCATTAATCATTCCCCGTGACTCTTATTTAAGGATTTTTCCTCCCACCACTAGGTCTGCGTGCTGTTTGCTCCATTTGGTCTATGACATATGGATGATCATCTTCATCAATAGATAGACTCCTACCTTCAGGAGCACTGTCTCCCTCCCCACATTAGTCAGTTTAAAGCCCTCCTGATGAGGTTTCTGAGATTTTGGCAAAAACATTCCTCCCAACCGTTGTGAGGTGCAGCCCATCACTTGCCAGAAGTCCATCTTCAAGAAACTGCAGTCCGTGATCTAAGAATCCAAACCGTTCCTGTTTACACCATTTGCAAAGCCAGCTGTTCACAAATGGTTTCACTTGATGTTGCATATTTACATAAGTGAAATAATTTATATGACATGGGTAATATGGGTAAGTGTTAAGTGGCATGTATGGATTTTAAAGGGCAGTTTCACACTTTATAATGGGGGGAAAATGTACTCCAAATAATTACATATTCTAGACTTGATACAAGATGATGATTAGTTCAGCAGCGATTGCCTTTTGAGTGTGTACTGAGCCACTCACAGACCGCACCAGAAACACATGTGAGCTACAAGCATTTGCTATACGTGTGATAACAAAGTGGCCCTATGGTGCATATAACTTTAGACCTGCCCCGTGGTTCATATTGGCAAAGAATATATAACCATAGCTGTCAACCTTCCCTTTTTTGCGGGAAATTCCCTTATTCCAGTGCTGTTTCCCGCTGTTTCCCACCGCTATCCTGGATTGTTAGATATCCCGTAGACCATCCCTGGGACAGGTGAGGCTGCTGATCCCTTATTTTCAAATCTGAAAGTTGACAGCTATGTACATAACACTAAACAAGACATTGGCAGCTTTGTTCTCCCTGATACCACTGCCATAGCAACATGGCCTTTTAAATGTGGACATGGTGAATATGCTAGCCTCTATCGATACTGAGATTATATCACTAGGTTCCCTGGAAAGCTAAACATGTCCCAAATTTGACAAATGAACTTGTTGTTTTAGAGAGAGGGAATGTTGATACCTCCATCTAGAAGAGAGGTGAAAGAAATGTATCTGTAGGACATACCTTCCCAGCCACAGAGGAAATGGAAGCCACAGGCATTACTGAGCATCAGCATCTATTACTGGACCAAAAGGCAGTCCCTATGTTCCCTTTCCCATAATGCCTATCTACCTGTCATCTCTGTTAATGTTTCCCCAAACCCTATACCACTAAATTACTAGTAAGTTCACCCTTCCCTTCCCTCTGTATTCTTCCCTCCACTCTTCTTTGAATTTGTCTCTTATTCTGCCCCCCCCCTTGTAAATATGTAAGAACATGCTGCTTTATCACTTAGCTACAGGTTTGTATTCCTTCTGTATGCATGAGATTCTGAAAGCTGTTAGTTGAACACAAAGCTAGAATCAAGGAAGTGCATGGAAGACTGTAGCTAAACTTCTCTCTGCTCCGCAGAGGCTTCTTTAATAGGGCCAGTTCAGATGTTAACCAAGAAACATGCCCAAGTTTATTACCATTTACGGGAACAGTGTGTCAAAGACAGGTCACCATATGGACAGTTTTGATGCTTGAGGGGGAAATGCTTTAGTATTTAAAATTTTAATTTGTAGACCATCTTAATTGCTGGAAGATACCCAGTGGATGTCTCTACATCTGCTAAATACATACCACAACATATGGACAGAAGCAAAGATTGGCATGTGATCACATCAACAAAGTTTGGCAGAATAGGATTCAAGGAGAGTCATTTGTTGAAAACATGCCAAGACATTAGCTTTCAAAAAGGTTTAATGCTTTAAAAAGAGGACATTGAATATTAAGGGGTCATTGATCAACAGCAATACACAATCTGGTCACAATTATCATGTGCCACATCATCAAAAGGCCATTTCCCTAGTGGAAACTGTATTTATTGTAAAACTCACAATAAATACAATGTAAGGCCCGTTTTAGACTAGTGTATTGTAGGTGTATTCTGCAACATGCATTTAACACAATAGTGCATTAGTGCTTCATTGATACTGCTTTATTAGTTCTGTTATGCTACCACAATATTGCTCTCTGGAGGAGCTACAATGCAACAAAAATGGGACAGACCCTGCCCAAATATTTGTGGTATGAGAAGTCACAGGATTGCAGTGGGAAGTTATGGGATATGCACTGATTGGAAATTAAGCAGTATGACAGCTCCAAAACAATTCCAGGTGCAGATAAAATTGAAAGCACAATCACATCTGACTTCCCTGATAGCACAAATAATCATGAATGCACAATAAAAAGTCATTTGGTGGGGCCCTAAGTTAACATACAAAATGTGTGTTGTTGTTTAGTCGTTTAGTCGTGTCTGACTCTTCGTGACCCCATGGACCAGAGCATGCCAGGCACTCCTGTCTTCCACTGCCTCCCGCAGTTTGGTCAGACTCATGTTTGTAGCTTCAAGAACACTGTCCAACCATCTCATCCTCTGTCGTCCCCTTCTCCTCGTGCCCTCCATCTTTCCCAACATCAGGGTCTTTTCCAGGGAGTCTTCTCTTCTCATGAGGTGGCCAAAGTATTGGAGCCTCAGCTTCACGATCTGTCCTTCCAGTGAGCACTCAGGGCTGATTTCCTTAAGGATGGATACGTTTGATCTTCTTGCAGTCCATGGGACTCTCAAGAGTCTCCTCCAGCACCATAATTCAAAAGCATCAGTTCTTCGGCGATCAGCCTTCTTTATGGTCCAGCTCTCACTTCCATACATCACTACTGGGAAAACCATGGCTTTAACTATACGAACCTTTGTTGGTAAGGTGATGTCTCTGCTTTTTAAGATGCTGTCTAGGTTTGCCATCGCCTTTCTCCCAAGGAGCAGGCATCTTTTAATTTCATGACTGCTGTCACCATCTGCAGTGATCATGGAGCCCAAGAAAGTAAAATCTCTCACTGCCTCCATTTCTTCCCCTTCTATTTGCCAGGAGGTGATGGGACCAGTGGCCATGATCTTCGTTTTTGATGTTGAGCTTCAGACCATATTTTGCGCTCTCCTCTTTCACCCTCATTAAAAGGTTCTTTAATTCCTCCTCACTTTCTGCCATCAAGGTTGTGTCATCTGCATATCTGAGGTTGTTGATATTTCTTCTGGCGATCTTAATTCCTCCAGCCCAGCCTTTCGCATGATGAATTCTGCATATAAGTTAAATAAGCAGGGAGCCCCTTCATGGATCACTGCCTTGCCGTGGCAAAGGGACTTGAATAACTTAGAGAAGCTATGAGCTATGCTGTGCAGGGCCACCCAAGATGGACAGGTCATAGTGGAGAGTTTTGACCAAACGTGATCCACCTGGAGCAGGAACCTCAGTATTCCTGCCATGGACAAAGACAACAAAATGTGTAGTTACCTACAAAAGGCCCCATCAGTATTGGCATTCCACCGGTTCTTAAAGACACACATGTTTATGTATGCATACCCCTGAACTTGAACTTCCTGATTTAATTGCTCCCTTGTTTTAAATTGTTGTACTTTTTACTAGGGGAAATCATTTCGATTATGTAGTTCCAGTTCACCACAGATCTCTTTCCTGTTAACAGTTTAACTAATGAAGGTCGCTGATATCTTTAGATAAACAGTTTCATGGTTTGTTTCATTTCACAAAGGTTTTGCTTGGTACCAATGGTCAGTCACATTTTCTTTCACATGTGCAATTCCATCTTTAATTAATTACTTCTATCTGAAATAATTTTTGAAAGGGGATTTTTTTTTGATACGCTGCCACTGTTTATCCCAGAGTCCCAAATGCACAAGATCATAACCAATCGTCATCCATCATGACAGATAATCCATCATACAATAAAAGATCTAGAGAAATACAGTACTGCAGAAAAATTAAGTAACCTGTTTCCAATTTTATTACCTTCCCTTTCCAATAAGGTCCAAGGGCAAGTTTAAAAAATTGAATAAAATGTTAAAAACAGTATAAAACAATTTAAAGCACTAGAGATTGACTCTCCAATTCAGTCTTGTTTCTGACAACTAGGGCTATGTACACACCATGCATTTAACGCATAGTTATAGCACAAACCTACCCCCACCCAAAATTCTGAGAACTGACAATTCCCCAGCGCCTTTGACAAACTACAGTTCCCAGATTCTCTTGAGTGGGGACACGCTTTAGATATATGGTGTGTACACAGCCAAGGAAACAGAATGAAATGAACAACTGATCAGTAATTTCTGACAGATATTTCCCACGGGTACTAGAAATAGTATCATAGCCCCCAGCTGAGCTATGTTCACTATTATTGCCAATCCTTGCAAACATCTTCTTACTTTACAGAGAAGTATTTTCATCTAAATTGCAAACAGAACCAGGGGTGTGGGTGAGAGTTCCAAGCAGGTTTGGAGGGGAGTTTCAACTCTTTCCTCCCCTGCTGTAATCCTGAAGAAATTCCTGCCTCGGGTTACATACGCTTCCGGTTACAGACTTCACTAACCCAAAAATAGTACCTCGGGTTAAGAACTTTGCTTCAGGATGAGAACAGAAATCGTTCTCTGGCAGTGCGGCGGCAGCGGGATGCCCCATTAGCTAAAGTGGTGCTTCAGGTTATGAACAATCTCAGGTTAAGAACGGACCTCCAGAACGAATTAACTACTTAACCCGAGGTACGACTGTACTTGCTTTTAATTACTGGTTTTATTTTTACACAGCTCAATAGCACTATTGAAGCTTTTAATTAACATCGGAAGGACCTTTGCTGAATGGGATATACAATGAGTAAACCTGATAGGTGAATCTCACACACGGGGAAGGGCATTGTTGGATAAATATAGAAAGATACAAAGTGTTGAGTGGAACCGCCATTTTAATTCCACTTCCAGCTCCTCTCAGAACAGCAATGTTTCAGATAAAGAAGCAAGCATAGACTGAAGGGAACAGTCAGCTATCTTCTGTCAGAAACAGAAGGTGTTTGGTTCAATTATGGTGGCTCATGTCCAATTTTGTAGAGGGCAGTACTCTAGCTGGAGGGCTTTTAGAGGATAATCTTCAAATTGAGGTGTCCTCTGTTTGAAGGGCTCTCCTGTCCAAATCTGGCTTAAAGACAAAGAACCATGAGAAGGGAGACCAGGGTCCTTGAAGCTGCCTATCAACAGCAGACTCAGCAGGCACAGACAGGTCACCTTGCCACAGTGGCCTCCAATATGGCAAAAATACATTTCTGCTTAAGAATGCAATCCCAACCTTTGTCCAGCTATGGCAGGGTTTAGCAGATTGGCCACTGCTGCATCCATTCCATTTGTGCCAGTCTGGGTGAAAGATTGTGTGAGTGTTGGGCGTTATGCCAGATCCCAAACCTGTTGCCATCACATGAAGGCAGCAGGGCTGGCTCAGAATCCAGTGGATCTAGAGCTGGCTCATCTCCACGCCCTTCTCCACCCCATTTCAGGGGTTTCTTGTGGCTGCTATCACTGGGGATATTGCTGACTGTAGCTTCTATCTGCCATTTGCCAGGAACCTCCCCTCTAAATAAATTCACACTTGACTCAAATTGTGGTTTTGGTTTTTAGCAGAATTCAGGCCACAACTTCATTGATTACAGAAAGTGACTGGTTGCATAGGCTCTGGTTCGACTAGCTCCCTGCCATGCAGGTAGTGCTGACTCAGGGTTCCAGCATAGGTCAGCCAAGGGTGAACACCTGGATAAGCGGAAAGCTGGGAATGGGCTAACTCCGCCACCCAAATGTCCCCCTGGACTCAGGCACGGGCACAACCCCCTCACAGGGGTTGACCAAATCATCGAGTCCCTGGATTCCTTTAATGGAATACCCTTCACATAGGGATGGTGAGAGCGTTCTCCCATCCCTATCACCTGAACCAGAGCCTATCCGCAACCTTAAAAGTTGTGACGATTTGCTACGTGGCAGGCAAAACCCAAACGGCAACAGCCAATCAACCAAGTGGGGAAAATTCCTGCCATGCCCATCCCAACGACACACGACATACGACACACAACGGCATAGCTAGGTCAAGCGCAACAAGCCCTAAAAGTAGGGTGAGGTGGGCAGGTGTTCCGAATGCACGCACCAAAAGAGGAAGCTCTGGGTCACGTGCATGGGTATAAATAGGTCCCTCGAACCGTTTGGACTGCATCCCATTGGCCAGATTTCACCCAGCTTCGAGGGACCTACCACTCAGGTGTTGTGGCTAACCAATCGTACCCACCCACAACACAGGGTGTCGGTTGTCCGGGTCTCACCGCAATACGTGCCCCCTTTAAGGGAGGACTCGATTTGGGCAGACTCTCCTCTTGTGGAGGCAGGCAGGGCAGGGTGGAGGAACATCGTGTGTCGTCTGTCGTTGGGATAGGGGCACAGCAGGAATTTTCCCCACCTGGCTGATTGGCTGTTGCCATTTGGGTTTTGCCTGACCTAAACCCAGCTTTGCCACTGAGACAGAGATGCTGCGTCACCTGAGGCTCCCTTGTAGCTCATGGAGAAGACTCCCTTGCTAGGCTCTTCTACATTTGGCTAGCTTCCCCTCACTGCTAATGCTGCCAACGAGATCAAGAGGCGTGATTCAAACACTAGAGTTTGAAGCTGAAAGGGGATGGATTTCATATAATCATAAAATTATGGAATTGTAGAGTTGGAAGGAACCACAAGGGTCAACTCCCTGCAATGCAGGAATATTTTTGCCCAATGTGGGGCTGGAACCAACAGCCCTGAGATTAAGAGTCTCATGGCGTACCAACTGAGCTAAATGGGCTTCCTCTGCCTTCATATGATCAACACTACAAGAAGTTGGAGGAAGCCTGTTTCAAAGGATATGCTTGCTATGTGTATACAGTGGCATCCATTTCCATGAAAGGAACACAAGCAGAAAGAGATCTGCAGATCTGAGTATTTCTAAGCTGCATGAGGATACCTGCATTTTTAAGCTGCATTGGTCCAACTGGGATCAAAAGTCACTTGACAATGAACCCCAGTTAACACCATAGAAATCCAGTTTTCAGCATAGATACCAGTAAACACATGATAGCAATGCTCTCTGATGCCCCAAGTTTGATATTTCACAAAGTAGTCCCATGAAAAATCAAATAGCCACATTATTTGTTATCCTCCTAGTCATTTGGTCTCTCTCCCTCTCTCTCCCTCTCCATTTCTCTCTCTCTCTCTGTATGTATTTAAATTCAGGTAGGTAGCCGTGTTGGTCTGACGCAGTAGAAATAAATAAAAAGAATTAAAAAATTGTCCAGTAGCACCTTAGAGACCAATTAAGTTTGTTCTTGGTATGAGCTTCAGATACCTATCTGAAGAAGTGTGCATGCACACAAAAGCTCATACCAAGAACAAGCTTAGTTGGTCTCTAAGGTGCTACTGGACAATTTTTTAATATTTTTATATATTTCTATGTATTTAAAGATTGTCATCATCTGAGCCATGAACTGGAAAAAAACATTGAGCCGAAGTGATTGATTCCCTAAAGCAACAAGCCATCAAACTGGAAAGCCCCAACAACCCTTGAGATGAAACTTGGATTATAAATTACTTAGTGAGTACAAATACAAAAAAATCCTGCTGGAGTACGGGGAGAAGCAGCATACAGAAACAGAGGTTTAGGCTGCAATCCTATGCAAACCTCCTTACTTCAAAGTGGACATGTCTAGAGGTTCAGGTGTAATTATACAAATCTGCAACAAACAGTTCCATCTTTGTCCAGGTGGTTCTCTGAACCTGGTGGTTCTGGGCCTAGTTCACGTGTAGGATAGCCAACCAAATATTCTTTTAGTGACCTCCGCTTTAAAAGTGTGTCACACCAGCACACTGGGACCCAAAATACTGGGACCTGAAAAGCCAAAAATGTTCAATTTGGTCCAAAACAGACCTGCTGCTTCACTCCCTCCCTCCCTTGACTCTTTCTATGACCCAATTCCATCTTGCCTTTCCCTGGGTTCTGCTTTCTAACCTACCAGATTCTGCCAATCTTCATCAGCCACACACCAGCTTCCATCTGGGCTCTCTTGCTGCATCACTCAGGAGCCAAATGTTGGTTTCCTAAAACATCAAAGTCAACCCAAGTTATGCATGCTCCCTCTGAGGATGGGTGAATCTGTCAATTTCAGTTTCTCTCTTTCATTCTTCCAATCTTAAGTTCCAGTCTCCACATTTCCACATCAGTTTGGGTTTTTTTTTAAAAAGTCCTAATTAAAAAACAATCACCAGCATTTGAGTGTCGGTTTCTCCTAACAGACACATTTTTGCATGCAATATTACCTAAAATACACATTTTTCTTGCAAAGACATTTACCCGGCTATGATTACTCTAATATGTGGATTTTTTTCCTGCACATCTTACCCTATTATTTGCATTTTTGCACACATTACTTGGCTGGAGAACTGCAGTGCAAAATTCAAAAAAGTATGAATTTCAAATAATGGCTGTGTTTCAGTTTGTATTTTAGAAAGCGTGGATTAGATAGGCCCACCTTTAATTGCCAGCTGAATTGAGCTTCTCCCCCATTCCTAGCCGCCACTCATGAAGTCACTAAGGGCCAAAGAAAGGTTTTCCTTAATAGAAAACACACAGCTATGTATCTTGTTTTTCTGTAAACAATTACAAGTACTTGTGAGCTCAATTCCTTCAGGGAATCTGTAGGGAATCTGCAGAAAGAAAAACATTCGAAGTAAAGTGAAGAAAGAAGCAGACTTTCACAGCATGCTGCATGCATCTGCATCAATTAACTAACTTCAGTGGTGAGCTTAGTCCGCCGTTCATTCCAATCACCTCACAACGTCTGTAGCCTCTTGGGTTTGTGGTGGTAGCTGTGGAGAAGAATGAGAGGGATCGTTTGAAATCTTTCTTTTTAAAAATGTGAATGGGAGAATGTTCTTTGAAAGTTTGGGGATATTTTGAAGCTGTTACAGTTTCACTCAGTTGCCATCAACACCCACAAGATTCTCGAGATTTAATGGCAGAGAGAGCAGACTGTGTACCATCTGTTACAACATTGCCAAAATTAAATTACAGGCTCTGTTCATGGTTTGTGTGTTGGGGGGAGCCCTCAAAATACTTTTAACGTGATTGTCAAGCCGATGGGGCTGTGCAGTTTCATGGAATCAATAGGAATGGGGACACGTGCCACTGATGAAAAAAAGAAAGAAAACTCTGTTAAAACAATAATACTATATTTAACAGATGCCATTCAGCAGAGCTCAAGACTCTTCCTTTCTCTCCACCCCTCCCCATGACATTTGAAGCAATCCAGAAGTTGTCTAGTATGCTTCGGTTTTGCTTTGGAATGTCTCATAGATTCATAAAGAAATGTCATATTACTTACCATAAGCGACTGATGAAGGCAACCCTAGATATTACATGTAACATTGGACCTAATATAGGGTTGACATATTTAAAAAAGTAAAAACCAGGACACCTCAAAAGTTGATGAGTTATTTTTAGGAAAACCTTTTTTTCCAGCTTTTTTTTGGGGGGGGGGGAACCACTGGAATTGTTGAGCCCCCCCTTTTTTTACAAAAATGCCAACCCCCCCTCACAATTTTTCAATTGACTTGCCTGAGACAAGACAAAGTGCCACCTTTCAGAAATTCCCTCCAGACATCAATTCCACTTTTGAAATCCTGGTAATGTCCAGGAAAACGAATGGCAGCCCTAGACTAATAGCACCTTCAAAGAAAAAGGATAAGCTTCTTCTGGTGGAGCAGTTGCCCTGCGCAGAACTGGCAGAATTGAACTCTGACCATCAGTTGATGTTACCCACCCGTTGGAGTGACGTCAGCTGATTGTAGACCTCCAACCCTTCTGTGCAGCTTAGCTCAGTGAGGACTGTCCTTCTGAATGTCCTTTGGGCCACCATCTCCCGCCCCCCTGCAGCCATCTATATATGGGCAAGCCTGCCTGCCTACAAGGATGTGCAGGGTTGCTAACCAAGTGGCAGTCCCCTGGGCACAGTGCCCCCCCATTGTCCTGCCCATCCTCCAAGATCTCACAGCTGCTGGAGGTGTTGCAGCTTTTGTTTTATTGGTTCCACAGATAGGTTGACATGGGAGTCTTGTTGCTGCCTGTCTTTCATTATTAAACATGCCATTTTAATAGGAATTAGAAATAGATTTTGTTACCATAGGCTCAAGGCATTCACTTTTTGTAAAAGGCATTTGTAGTCATTTGCTATGAGTCATAACATTTATTAGATGTCTCTTAGGGGATTGAACTGCTATTGGCTTTTAAAAAATACTTTAAAAGCATTTGACTGACTTTTTCATATATATATATATATATATATATATATAATCTCAAACATTAGGAAAACCTAATTATAAATTGTTCTTTATTTCACAAAATTGCCTGCTGCAACAGGCACACCAGGAGATGAAGCAGATTTCCAAATTCAGAGATTGTTAAAAAGGTGCTTTTAATAAAACACAACTAAATGGCTGGCTTAGGAAGCAAGATACCAATCAGGAGAAAATGAATCTCCTCTTGGAGACCCATAAAAGCTCTATGAGGCTATATCCGACAATAGCCTCTATTTGCTTCACTCTGGCATACCATGGAAAAGGTTTGGACCAGGGGGAAGGGAGGCTGCATGGACAAGCTGATCCTCTGCTCTTGTATACTGGGTGTCCATGACAAGCAACAAATGTGGAAAGTGGAGCTAGAATCAGCAGTGTGGATGGAGCAGGAACATTAAGGAGCTCTGAAAGCCCAGCAAAGCTCCAGAACTGACTTCTATGATCACTGTCCCCCCATGGTCATCTTTCTGGTCACTGCCTGAGCCTGGGTGATGGTTTCCAGCTAGGTTTTTCACTTTTCTCCTGAGTAGGTCCTTCTTTCCAGGTAGATCCTGTACCAACAGCCAAACAGAGGCTCCTCCTGCGACTCTGGGTTGCCACCATTGCTCCTGAGACCTGGGGGGTAGGGAGAAATAGGGTTCTAGGTTAGACATTTTAAATACCTGTGTTGCCAATGACCAGTTTGCAAATTAAGCTCCTATCTGGAAAATCAGCAGGATTCAAGGGCAAAAGCCTAGGACAAAATAATTGCTATCAAAGTATACAAGCATGGGCATTCCACAAGTGGTGGGGGGCATAAAGTAGAACCTCTCTCTGAGAAAGTTTAGACCCGTTTTCCTGTTTCTGTGGGGACATTAGAAACTCTGTAATCAGGAAAGTTTGAGGTTTTTCTGCCCTGTCTCTCCAAAGGAAGAGGTGGGAAGCTGCATAGAAGAAATGCAAGGATCCTACTTTGAGGCATGATTTCTACTTCCCTATGGAGCCCCCAACACCACCACTCCCTTCTTAACCTGCATAGGTCATTGCAGTCATTATTGTCCTGTAAAATGTTTTGTACGGTGGCTGCCTGTTTCTTAACTACAATGGCATATTTTGGAAACTGGCACTCAAATGTACATATGCCTTCTTCCTTTCTCACTCACAGTTGGGTTAATATGAACAACACAATATTCGACTTAAGGCCTCTGGGTCTCCTTTCCTTCCAAGGATAATAGTGTTGTGTTGGACAGGGATGGAGACCCTTTAGCCCTCCAGTTGTTCCTAGACTACAACTCTCCATTATCCCTGACCATTGGACATCCTGTCAGGGGCTGGTGAGAGTTGGAATCCAACCACATCTGCAGGGCCGCAGGTTCCTCAATCTGGGTGCAGGAACTTGTAAGGAAAGGAAGGGGGAGTTCTGTTTACCATCCATAGCACAAGAACCCCACAGAAATGCAGAAAAGTGAGGAGGCCAGTTCTTTGCAGAAGCTGTTTTCTTTTACCGTAGGCACGTTTCCAGCATCGTCTTTTGATGAAGAGAATGAATAACAGCCTGTTCTTTCATGTCTTTTCTTTGATCACATGCCAATTTCCATTATGATAATAGGGGAACCATCTCTCTTCTGCAGAGCAAATGACAGGATAGAGGAAAGGCGGAGGGGACAGGCAGCCCAAGAGGCACTTGAGCAACAAGACAGAGTCTACTTTGATATGGAGCCTGGTTGACCATTTTAGCAGCTAATGTGTTTTCAGAATTTCCGTACCTCTTGATAGGAATATATACAAGGACCATGCTACTTTAAACTAAGAGAGTTTATTCCAGGGTAGTTTGATCATCTGTATGGACTCCTGAGCCCATACTGGGCATTCATCTCTAATATGTAGGGGAAGAAATGGTGCCATGCTCACTACCCTCATCTCTCTGGCCTCACTGTACATCCTCATCTCTCTGGCCTCACTGACTGCAGCCTCAGACCTTCACATGTAGCTTCCATTGAGAAAACGGCATGACAAACCTGTTCAGTGTACCTGTTCATATATCTGACTTTGTGTACATGTGTTGGAAGGCTATGCTTGGTTTAGGAAATTAGTGTG